TTTGTTTTGTGGCGCGGGCGCCGCGCGGTGGAGACCCGGTTTTTTTTGGTTGGGGGGGGGGGGGGGGGTTGTTTTACAGTGACGCTAATCTGTGGCAACTGAAGTGAAGCATACAGAGCTATTTCCCAACTCCAGCCCTTTCCTTAGCTAGTTCCTTTTGGCCTGTATGGATTTCTCAAGGAGGATGTAATATCCAGCGAGGACACGTATACAGTACTCTCCTCCCCAGGCAGGCTCTGTGCTTTGAGGCCCATCTTTGTGTTAGGGGCCTGAACCAAAGCTCATTAAGTTGATAAAACATTTCACTGGCTTAATGTATCAGTCATTTGGGTTTAGATCATAAAAAAAAATTTCTGTTGGTCTGCTTTTTGTTGGCATGCCCACATTAGTTACAACCTCTCTTATAGAGTTACTGTTGAGATATAATCTAAATTTGATTTTTCTGCACACTTTCTGGCCTTAAGTTAAAGTGTTTATGTATAAAACTATTACAAAGAGTGCCAGGAAGCTATTAACACGCTTTAACACCTCCATTACATATGATGATCGCTTTCTGCATTTTACTCACCTTAGGCAAGTGAATAGCTATTGTTGCTTTTGTGAGTCTCATGCACTTAAACCTTGTTCCAATATTAGGGTTGAGTGAATTCCTGTCTCCATTGAGCTCTTTGGGTGTTGGACCATATCACCAAATGCAGAGTTTGACTATCCTTAGTTAATTGTTTTCCTGGGTCTTTAATGGCTAGCTGAAGTATTTTGGCTCTTTTTTAACTAACAAGCAATTGTGTAGTAGTACAGCTGTCCTCAAGGTCTTCCAGAGGTTACTTGCTTTCTTGGCTTACACAGGACCACTGCAACATTTGCAAACTGTAGTCTATTGTTCACATGCCTGCATATGCTTTGCCAGAATTACTTCAGCTGTGAGCTAGAAAAAAATCTTACAGAATGAGGCATTCTCCACTTATGCAGAAACTTACCCGTATGAACTTATTTATCTGCCCTAGAAGTGCTGCCTAAACTCTCCTCTCCTTTGCCTGCCAAATGGAGTCTGGCTCCCACTGAGACTTAAACACTAGTCTATTCAGAAAATAATAATGAAAAATATTTTGGAAAGCTGCTCAAAAGCCATTTTCACTCTCATTTCAATATAGTGCAGCAATTTAAATGTTTGAAAGATTATGCCCTACTGTAAGAGCTGTTAATAGAAATAAATGAGATTCTGTTCAGCAGCTTAAGTTTCATGTCAGCCTGAAGTCTGGTTCCTTCTATATTAAATTCTGACCAGTGCAAAAACAGTCTTGTTTCAAGAAATTGGATATATTAGAATTAAAAATGCTTACCTGGATCCCCAAAATGAGAACCAAACATTAGAAAACATTTTGCTTGAACATTAGCATGCCATACTTTCATGTTCAAATGCTACAGAGCATACAGCAAAGTTCTATGACATAAGAACTAATGTTAGGGCATCATTCTGATTTACCACCTTATTTCCTCACTTGATGAGTTTGATGACTAAAGCTGGTTATCTTTAATAACGAAGGACAACCGTGTAATCAGTATTTGGAAGGATTTTTAGAAGTTTGCTTATTTCCTCATCTGCTTCCTACTAAAACAATCCAATATAAATTACTTTATTTAATAAGCAACCTGAGCTAGGTAGACAGATGACCTTGTGTTATACAAGCTAACATTTAGGTGTCTTGCCACACAATGGAATCTATAGTTTGCATTCTCTCTCTCTCTTCCCCTCCCCCGCCCCACTAACACACAACTTGTTTGCACACATTACAGACCATCGAGCTTGCATATAAACTGCATACTGTAAGTCAGTTGGAAGGATATTGATACATTCTTAGTGAATTGTTTAACTTGATTGGAAATTTGGTGCCAGAATTAGTAACAGCAGTGTTAATTGCCAGGGCCCCAGGAATGGCAGCTAAACTTTCTCCAGATTTATTTATTTGTACACGCAGTACTCGACTTACAGCATTTTAAGTTACAACGTTTTGTACTTACATTTATAAATTGACACTCTGTTTCAACTTTGACATCAGTTTCAACTTTACAACACTTGATGTCCGATGCAACGCCACATCTCCCTGGAGAACATCTGTCCAAACTTCCTTGATCACTTTCTTTAAGAAGGCAGACAAGATACCAGAAAAACCTGCAGCCAAGACTCCTGAGAAGACTCCAGCCAAGAACCCTTCAAAAAGTCCAACCAAGAGCCTTTCAAAAAGTCCAGCAAAGTCACCTCAAAGAAGTCCTTCCAAATCAGTATGATTGCTATTTACAATATAAATACATTAATGTAGCTATATTACTCATCTATAATTGATTGAGTACAAAATTCTGGGGTATTTTTGGTGAAAATAGGGTATCGGGCCTTGGTTCAGGAACAAATCCCCCCGTTTTTAACATTATTTCTTATGAGAAAATTGGTACCGAGTTAAAAGGTTTCGACTTAAGACACAGTTTTTGGGAACCAATTGTGTTGTAAGTCCAAGGACTGCCTGTATATGGTTGGAGGCAGGGGATCCCTGTATAAAACTGTGCACGATCAGATTCTAGATGATTTGGACCTACTAACTTCTGTTGTGAACTTCTGAATTTACCAAATATCCTTCAAACCTGACACTCTCTAGGACATGCAGCAAAACTCTCCTCTTTTGGTGGGCAGAGAAGCCATTCCACTATCAGAATGAAAATGGGAACTGGTGGCCCCTTTTATCCTAACTGCACCACAGCTTTTATGAACTCCATTAAGGACTTCGCTATTACATGAAAAGTGCTTTAGGACAGCAAGCTACAAGATACTACCTTTAGTGTTAGACCCTTTGCTGTAACCTCCAGCTCTATAAAATCTATGCTGCTTTTTCTGAAGTTCTTAGATTGTGAAGAATACAGCAATACTATTAAAGTAACTTAGCTGTACATTGATAAACACAACCTATTTCAAGTAAGTATTTTAGTGAATTATTCTCTAAAACTAACTCAGCATTTTTCAATATGTAACACTAATTTCAAAATGATTTACAGAATCTCTTAATAGTAACTTTTACACATCTCCATGTATTTGTCAGGTGGCAAGAATCTTGGAATCATGGCTGGAAAACCCAAACTTTACTACTTCAATGGAAGAGGCAAAATGGAGTCAATTCGCTGGTTGTTGGCAGCCACTGGAGTTGAGGTTAGTTTTTGTATATTTAACTGTAATAAACTGAGGATCTGCCTCAGCCGGAACTTAAAATTAAGTGCCTGGGCAAAAACGAAGCAACCAGGGTAGAATAAACTGTGCAAACTAAACAAAAGTAGTAAATATTCGTCCGTGAATATGGATGGATGAACCTCCATGTTTAAATTGCACCTTCATGCTTTGGCTATGACATTCTAAATATGAAAAAAAAATCTATCTTGCTTCTGAATACTTACAGTTTACTGGTAAGTAATGTAGCAAGATCCATGCTATCGGCTTTGGACAGAACAGAAGCAAACTGATAACCTTACGTATCCCAGACTATCTGCTTTCTTTTACTTATTGTTCAGACTTGTCCTTCCAGCCCATAGCAGTCAGTTTGGAGTTATTTCTGTGCTTTTTCTACTCAGATTTCTCCTGCTTCATCTGATTGACTTGTTTCGAATGCGGGTTGCATCACAAATATTTTGTTCTTCATTGATATATGTATGAGGCCAGACAGGGCTGTAGGTTGTAGCTGTGTTGGTCTAAGGACATAGGCAGACAAGGTTCCTTGGGTAAATCCAGTATCTTTTATTAGACCAATTCAAATAGTTGGAAAAATTCTTCTCAGCAAGTTTTTGGCCACAAACAAACAAAGAGGCCAAACAGGACCTTTTGGGCAAAACATAGGCACTGACTTCTATTTTTGCTGGTGGGGGGGCACTAAGATGATGGACTTGTCAAAAGTTTTCTGGATTTCAGATGACAGCCCTCTTTCCTGGGAGTCCAGGGGCCTCAGGCCCCCACATACTTGGCATCTCTGGGGCACACTGATCTGCACATGTAGGATCTTTTGAGGCGAGAATAAAAATAGCTGACAAGTGAATTACTGTAGTGAAATTAAACACCAATTCAGAAACAGCAAACTGATGTTCCATAATCTTTCCTATATTGATATGCTTTCCCTGAGCTCAGCTTAAAATGCCTCCAAACTTGGGTTGAAGTTTATCCTATGTAGCTAATAAAAAGATTTGGAATAAAACAGAGTAACAGTGTCACAAAGAGACAAACGCTTGGTCAAAATCTGTCTGTCTGCACCCATGATATCTATGCCAGTGATTTTGGAGTAACTGTGTAGTACCTCTCTCATCAGTAACTAATTTTATATTTCCAAACCCAGGATTCTTTTCATTGTGGCTACTAGATGAGCCAAAAAATGCTACTTCATCAGACAGAAAACTTAGTACATCTTTGACACTTGTTGCCACCAGCTGTTGTCATACAGTAGTTGTCAGCAGTTGTTGTCATCTTCTTCGTAGTTTCTGCATTATGACCATATCCTGTCTTCAGATTCCTTCAGTTGTCATACTCTGCCGTTCTGTTGCTTAGAGAGTTCTGAAAAGATGTGGTTTGTTTCCTTTTGTCCCCCCCCCCACAGTTTGAAGAAGAATTACTTGAAACGAGAGAACAATATGAGAAGCTCTTACAAGGTAGGTCCAGATTTCTCAAGTGCTTGACCAGGTTTCTCTTAATTCAGGAGAGCAACAAAGCAAAGACTTGGGGAATTTAGGAAGAATTCATTGCTTTTCGTTCATACATTGGAGAGGTAAAACGTGAGTGCCTGGACACAACATGTCAGTGTAACTAATGTAATGTCAATTTTACACACAACGGTAAATTGCACTGTGTGGACAGGCTAGTCACTATCCTGGAGAAGCTGTTTTCTTTAGACATTATATAGTATTGTTATACGATGAAAGTTGGGATGGGAGGAAGGGAATGGGGAGGCAAAGGAAAGCTGCTTTGCCATAGACAGATTAACTATACTGGAAAGAAAGTGAATCAACTATCAAATATCCTGATTCTGGTGTAAATTATTGCAGTGTGTTTTTACTACATCTAGGTATGTATGCCATGGGAACTGGGGTAGAGCTGGACAATATCTGTTTGCTCCATGTTTATACAAATGCAAAAGCTGATTACAGCAGTATAATAAATATGTTGTATGTCCAAGTCCTGTGTGCTGTGGCCAATTAAAGGAGTTGTCAGGCTTGTCACTGACAAGCATGCCCTTCAGTTAGCTGCTGTGACTCACTGCAGATGAATCTGCTCATTGGAGTCCTAAAGATTACCTTGCTAAAAACAATGCTAGAACATACGTGTTCTGATATGTTACGTCATATTTCCTCTCTCCATCTGAGTGGTCCTTTATCATAGACATTAATCATCATGGACAGTTAGAGCAGTGGTGCTCAAGGCTTTGGTCTGGGCCATATGAGTGTCATGGGGCTGATCTGTGAGCTGAATTGATCCCATGTGTCAGCAACAGACTCTGGGGCCAGGCAATGCCCTTTCCTGCTCTGAGCACTGAGATAGAGCTCTAGGACCCAACACTGACCCTGCACACCAGGATTGGGTTCCTGGTACCACCCCCTCCTGGTCCCCCACACCATGATAGGGTCCTAGGTCCTGTCACTGCCCTTCCATGCCAGGGCAAATCACCCCTGGCCCTGCACAGTGGGATTGGATACCCAGTCCAGTGCATGGGTGTAGAAATTTGGCAGCAGGGGAGCAGTGCCATTGGTCCCCCTACATCAAATTTCTGGACCCATGGGGAGCCCAACGGGGCAGATGATATGGTACTGTGGGCCAGGGGTTCAGCACTCCTGCATTAGACCAAATGTGCTCAAAGCATGAAGCTGGTACTGTCCATCTTTATTATCCTGGCAGTCTGGCTCTGCAGCTTTTGTGATCTCCTGGTGGTATTTTGTACAGATTTAAATAATTAACTTTTTTTTGTTGTTGTTCAGTCAGTTTTGAAACTGGATGTAGTGACTGGTTTTGAGGCCCATAACAAAAAATAATGCTGCTCTTCTCATAACTGCAGTGATAAGACATTGATAGATTTCTTTTTGGGGGGATGTTTGTCCCGCTCTTTTCAGAGTAATTGTCAAAACTCATTAGACTTCTTCATGAGAAGCATTGTGCCATACAGAAAACTAGTATTTGAGATGTGATTACTTCCTTCTGCTCCCTAAGCAAGTGGGTTGGATTTTAATAAGCTGCAAAAGCCTGCCACATCCTGTGCCAACCAAAGTTTCATTGTATGTGCTTATAGAATTTAATTTTCTGTGTTCAAAGGCTTTATTTCTTGGGTGAGCTTTGGTTTGTGTTGCAGGGTACTAAGGTGTGCCTGCTTCTTCAAGAGCAAAGGCAGCTTAGTTTAGGGACCCTAAGAGCTAGGCAGGGCTACACAGAGCTAGGGTAGCCTTGGCAGCAGGGTAATCGGGGTATTAGTTTGCACCTGCACCCAGTCAGCTGACCAGAAGGAAACAGGGCCCTGGGCACATATAGGCCCTGGGGCTGGCAGAGAGGGAGTTCTCCTTCTCCATCAGCAGTAAGGGGGAAGGAGCTCTTGCAGAAATGCTACTCAGAGATGCTTGGTTGCATATTCTGCTTCTGGTAAGAGTAATGGGCTCTAGGAGCTTCTAAAGTATCTGGGGCTAGGAGGCACACATTGTTGAGAGAGACGCTTGTCTTTTTAAAGAGGCATAGAGTGACCTCCAATGTTGTTGTTGTTGTTATGTTATAGCTCAGGGGCTTGTATTTATGTTGTTGTTTGAAAACAGTG